TCTTCATCTTGTCAAAGGCCAAATAACCAACAGCCGGATCGGTGCCCACGATGTCCTTGATGTCGTCGCTGTCCTTGGTGTAGTCGCCTTCCTTGGTGAAGTCGCCGTCCTTGGTGAAGTCGCTGTCCTTGGTGAAGCCGATGTCCTTGGTGAAGTCGCCGTCCTTGGTGAAGTCGCCGTCCTTGGTGAAGTCGATGTCCTTGGTGAAGTCGATGTCCTTGGTGAAGTCGATGTCCTTGGTGAAGCCGCCGTCCTTGGTGAAGTCGATGTCCTTGGTGAAGTCGATGTCCTTGGTGAAGCCGCCGTCCTTGGTGAAGTCGATGTCCTTGGTGAAGCCGCCGTCCTTGGTGAAGTCGATGCCCTTGGTGAAGTCGATGTCCTTGGTGAAGTCGATGTCCTTGGTGAGGTCGCTGTCCTTGGTGAAGTCGCCGTCCTTGGTGAAGTCGGTGTCCTTGGTGAAGTCGATGTCCTTGGTGAAGCCGATGTCCTTGGTGAAGTCGATGTCCTTGGTGAAGCCGCCGTCCTTGGTGAAGTCGATGTCCTTGGTGAAGTCGATGTCCTTGGTGAAGCCGCTGTCCTTGGTGAAGTCGATGTCCTTGGTGAAGCCGCCGTCCTTGGTGAAGTCGATGTCCTTGGTGAAGTCGATGTCCTTGGTGAGTCGTCCTTGGTGAAGTCGGTGTCCTTGGTGAAGTCGCCGTTGGGCTCGACGTCGCCCTCCGGGTCATCCCGGTCAAGGTCTTCGTCATCCAGGCTGTCCCGGTCATTGTTGAGCATGTCGAAGTAGTAGGCGAAGTTCCCCGGCAGGAGCCGCAGGCCAAATAACCCATTATGGTGCACAAGTCGAAGGTCATGACCAAGAAGCTGAGAATGGGCCACCTCGCGACTCAGATCAAGAACCAGGCCCAACCTCCGCTGTGCCTCCAAACTCACGAGCAGCGGCGCATCACTGTCCTCTAGCTCCACGCTCCGTAGGCTCCCGTTGGCATATCCTCCATTGGCAAGCTCCAGGCACAAGTCCAGCTCGCGGGCCCCAGAGGTCTGGACCAGACCTCCAATGCCGCGAAATCCCCCACCAGTGTCCGGTAGAAGATCAGGGGCCTCCTGCTTGGTGAGCTCCAGGTAGCGCTGCAACCATCGGCTGCCATGACACGTAGTGTTGCAACCTGTGTCCAGCACACAGACCAAAGCACCTTCCGATCCCGTGGGCCCTTCCAGGTCGACATCATTAAGGGCCATAAAAGCTCGTCGAACTGGCTCCTTGAAGAGGGGGCCATGGTGAGTCTCGTGCTGGGCGATTTCCATGAAGAGCAGCTTGAGTTGCTTCATCCCTCGCCCGCTGCGGTCGTCGATGTTCGCTTGCACCCAATTGCGGTAGCCGATGTCCTGGTAGGCATGGTAGACGGGCTCGTTCTTGTACTTCCCCTCGGTGGCCAGAGCAGAGGCACGATCGCGGAGGGTCTCCAATCGTCCAAGCTCAGCGTCACGTTGCGGTACAGGTTGTGGCTCTGTTGGCAGCGGGTCGTTGAAGACGGTCACCATCTGCAGGATCAGCCTCAAGGATTCTCGCAAAGAGCTTCCCTTGATGTAGCTCTCGGTTCCGACGTGTTGAAGCCGTTGGTGCACAGCCTCCTGGAAGGTTGCCACGGCACGCTCCGCCTCTGCTCGTGTCAGATAGGTCTCCTCGTCCAACGATGACAAACCTCGGCTCTCCTGCTGCGGTGTCCTTCCAGGACCCGGGGCGCCTGCTGCTGGCGCTGGTCTCGTACTGCTCGGGCCGCTCTCCTGGAAACCACAGTCCAAGCAGGTGCGCTTCCAAGAGAAAGCATTCGTTCCTCGCCAAGAGACCCGGTGATGTGCGCAGCCAGGCTTTGGCATGGCGGTAGTCGATGCAGTGGACGTCGTCGGCTCGATCTTCGTCCGCTCAAGCAAGGCCCCGCAGTCGAGACATTTCACCTGGCGATAGTGCGCATTGCTGCCCTTAGTGGTGGTCTTTAGGTGCTGGCACCCCGTTCGCGACGGCGAGGGCTGTGACTGCTGAGACATGGTCGGGGTCGAGGAGGTCGGCGATGCTCTCGTTGGTGTCGTCGCCGACATCCTTGTAGAAGATGAAGCGGCTGGCCCCCCGATCGCATGAATCGGAGTGTCCACTTCCATTGCACTAAGGGCTTGCTGCAGCATTGCATCCTCGAGGTCATTCGCCGTAGGTGCCGGCGTGGCATCCGGAAGCCATCGCGGTTGCAACTCTGCAGGCACCAAGCTCCACGAGGACTCGGTTGGGCTGTGGTCGTTGCCGTCGGTCTCAAGGTCAATGACGCCATTGCCGCGCAGATCACGCGGCGGTGGCACAGCCCGATAGTCGTTGAGGCCTGGTGTCCGATAGGCCAAGTTGGCGGTGCGCCGGTGCGGCTCGTCCTCGCGGATGGCAAAGTACACGGGACGAGGCTTGCCAGTTTTCCCAGCATTGCCCTTGCCATGCGACAGCGAACTTGTAGTAGAGCTAGGCGGGGATGTCGTCGAGGATCCTGGTCGCGCCTTTCCTGATCGGCCAGCGCCTTTGGTCTGAGGGCAATGCGGATCTCCTTGCCAATGGCCGCGTTGTCCGCAGCGGCGGCAAGTGGTGCGGGCCTTCAGGTCCGCCACCTTCCTCCTTCTCTCTTCCAGGCTGAGTGAGCCAGTGACGGCAAATTGCCGCGTGGGCGGGCCTCGGAAGCCGCTACCCTTCTTCGAAGCACCCTTGCGTGCGAAGTGCGCTTCTTGCTCGATCTGCATAAGGTCGGCTGCATACTCGGCAGTGTCAGGGTCCAGCAAATCCACCCCGTCCTCGACGAGATAGCCAATCTGCTCCTCCTCGAAGTCCAGCTCCTCCTCGGCGATGTACCCCTCATACATTTCCTCCTCTGGGAGGTCGTGGTGCTCGTTGTACTCCGTCGTGTCCTCAGTCTCGGCCATGTAGCTAGAGGGCCGCCAGGATCGGGTAGCGAGGAGGTCGCCCAGGAGCGCGTTCCAGAGCCCTTGTGTCCTATTCCTTTGTGCGGCGCTGGCGTGCGTCGCTCCCTCTCATGGATCCGGCCGTGTTGAGCCACCAGTTCGTCGGCCACAGCATCAAAGGTGATCTCGCCCTTGATCGCCGTCCGGATGAGCAGCTGATGGTCGGCCGAGATATTCGAGGAAGCAAGCAATTGCTCAGCCAACGCCATGTCCGGAAGGCGCATCTCATTGCTGCAGTCCGTGAGACAGCGGTACCACGTGAGCTGAGAACAAAGGTGGAGACGGGCTCGCCAGGTTGCCGGGAGAGAATGCCATGGGAAGTGGCACCAGCAGCATAAAGCTCTCTTGCCTGCTGAAGCCGCTTGGGTCTGAGGATCTTCTCGAAGGTCTCCAGCAATTTGTCGGGGCCGTCCTCTTGCTCGAAAACGGTCATCTCCATGGTCTGCACCATGCGCAAAGCCGTTCCGGAGATCCCCTCAACGAGGCGCAGCCCAAGAGGCCCAAGCTTGGCCTTCTCTTCCTTGCTCATCGTCTTCTCCTTGGCAATCCTGGCTCGAACTCTAAAAGCATACTCGGCGAGTCTGGTCGGCTCACCATTGAATCTGGGGATCCCAAACTTCCCCTCAGTGCCCTGGCCAACCTCATCATCATGAGTGAAGTTGGGCCAGCGCAGCAACTCCAGCAAAGCCGCCATGGCCTGCTGACGCGGAGGCGCAGAAGCGCGTGGGCTTGGCCCGTAGGCCCAGGAGCCGTAGCTCCGCTACCAGTGCGGAAATGCAAAGCTTCCCCGCACTGGCGCACACAGTTGTTTTGCTCGCTTGAGCCATTCAGTTAACGGTCAAGGTCGGATGCATAGCTGTTGCGCTTCTGGTTTTACTGGACTATACAAGAAAGAAGCTCTGCTTTCACACCTGGCAGGGATGCCCTGTTAGAAAGAAGGAGAAGGGGGGTCCCCAAAAAGGGGGTCAAAAAGCACGATTTTGGCCTCCGGCAAACGCTGTGGACGACGACCTTGGGGGGGTAGGGGGGGGACCCCCCGTTACCGCAGCCCTGGCAAATGGTCTGGGTTTAGGGGTATTAGCTTTACTACGTAGAGAGGTGTGCTGGCCGGGCACACTCGAAAGCCTATCTCACGTGGTGGTATGGCCAGAGCCTTCCTCGCTAAGCGTCAGTTCCAGGCCCAAGCTGGAGGCTTAACCCTCCAGCGCAGCTTGCAGACATTACTAGATTGCCAAGCCTCTCGCAGCTGAGCTGCTCGGCTCTGCCTAGCTCGGCAGCGGCCGCTCGGGCTCTGCTGCACGCTTAGGGTTTAGGGTTTAGGGTTTAGGATCTAGGGTCTAGGGTTTAGGGTTTAGGGGGGCCCGTGTGGTGTCTCGGTTTCGGGGCCCTTTCGATCCTCTGACATAAGTTCCCAAAGAAGGTCTGTTGACCATACACCTCGAAACCCTAAAGCCAATTCCAACTCAGTCAACCTGGCACCCTACATAAACACTTGTGCGAAGGGCCCTTGGATGATATTCAGCACTGCCTGGCTTGAGGCCGAAAACGAAGAGGCCCAACTCCAGCAACGCACTGAACGCACCCATTTGTGACAGCGCACTTGCGGCAACAGCAACGCACTTGTGGCATTGCGAAAGGTACTCACAGAGGCAAGGGCCAGTCCGGGGTCGGAAAAAACTACTAACGTTCTTCCCTTACCCCTTCTGGCCCCTTTAGAATTATACCATAGAAACCCCAAAATCCTATTCTAACTACTAAGGCCCCTATACTATTCCCTTCTGGCCCCTTTAGAATGATCCTGTAACAACCCCAAAATCCTATTCTAACTACTAATACCATTCCCTTATGGCCACTTTAGAATTATGCCATAAATAGCCCCCAAAATCCTATTCTAACTACTAATACTATTCCCTTACGGCCCCTTTAAAATTATCCCATAAATAGCTCCCAAAATCCTGTTCTAACTACTAAGGCCCCCCCTAAACCCTAAACCCTAAACCCTAAACCCTATATTACTGCCTGCAGCGACGCTTGCACATCCTCCGACGAGATGAAAAGCGCCGGCGGCGCCAACATACCCAAGGGCAACGTCGATAGTATCCTAGGTGTCTGGCGTTTAGGGTTTAGGGTTTAGGGTGTAGGGTGTAGGGTTTAGGGTTTAGGGTTCGATTTCAACAGTCCCCACAAGTATTTATAAGCAGGGCTCCTAATATTAAACAATAACGGAAATTGAAAAAAACATCCCAAATCGATGCCCAGTATCCGTAAGGCCCTGACGATGTTGTCGTGGACGTTGTGGGCGTTGTGGGCGTTGTGGGCGTTGTGGGCGTTGTGGGCGGTGCGGACGTTGTGGATGTTGTGGACGTTGTGGACGTTGTGGACGTCGCGTTGCATCCGAAGATCCGTCCGCCGGGGAAGTACTCGGATCCGAAGCTTGGGACTGCAATCTCGGCCACCGCAACTGAGGTGGCCGTGAGGGCAGCCCGAGCCATCGAGCCCCCTGAAACGTCCACGAGAAACTTGATCGTCCGTGCGGCGCTCCAAGTTCCATTGGGGCTCGCCTCGAAGATGGTAACCCGGTCGCATGTCGCGACACACTCCGCAGCTGCGCGGCCGGAGCTAGAGACCGCAAGCAATTCCGGGGAGCTATTTAGCTCCGTCCGAAAGACCTCGGTGAGGTCAGACCACGAGCCATCCTGGCTTTCGTAGATGACGAGGAGGCGGGTCGGGGTGCCGGCCAAAGCCCAAAACACGGCGACATAGTTCCCGTCCACGGCGACTGGGCCGGCGCCATTGAACGGAGCAGCGGTGGGGCTTGAGATGTTTGCCACTGGCCCGAACCACGAGCTACCCGTCCATTGAAACAACAGCACTTGTGTGTTGGAAAAGGATGCCGGCGCTAATACAACGGCCAGGGTGTGACCGTCCACAGCAAACCTGACAAACGCTGTGGGTATCACGAGGTCGGCAGTGGGCACTGCCGTCCAACTTGCGCCTTGAATCTGGAATGTCTGATACATGCCTGAACTGTTCGCCAGGACCAACAAGTTTCCCCCAAGAGACATGGCATCGGTTCCTGGAAACAGTTGCTGTCCCAAGAACACCCAGGAGACCCCGTTGTGCTTGAAGGTGTGAGCGGCAGGACCTGCTGGGGACGTTGCATCGTAAGCTACGACAACTTTTGCACTGCTCAAAGCTGTGTCTCTGGCCCAACCAAACGACAGCGTCACGTTCCGGGTTGCTATGTCCGTAATGTTCGAGTCTAACTCCCACGCTCCATTTGCCGATCTGCTGTAAATGAGGACTTCGTCTGGGCGGCCTGGCAAGGTCCATCCAAGAAGGTGGAAGTCACCCGCTGCACCTGCTGATGGCTTCGGATTCCCCGCCTTCGGGGCTGGCGACGGGACAACGCGCACCTGCTCCGCCCAGTCAGAGCTGGGGCAGTCCTGGGGGGGCCACTCGCTATCGAGCTTCTACAGGGGTCTGGGATTCAAAAGCGGGGGTTCTTTCTTCTTCTAAATCAAGACCAGCATCTGGTTCTGACGCCCGGAGACCTCTGGACCCTCCTTGCGCGAGCTGCAGCAAGCAGGATGGCTCCTGATACACGGAGGCACTGCAGTCAAAGTTCCCTGCCCAGCACACCCAGGCAGCTATGGCCATGGAGCTCCATATCTTGATCATCTGGGTTGGCCTTTAAACCCTCGGAAAAAATATTTATATATAGGGCCCCTTATAAGCCCAAATAAAGAAAATAAGCATGTCCCAGAAACCAACCTAGTCATGGTTCGGTTCGCTACTCAGAGCCTCTACTAGCTCGAGCTGTTCGTCGAGAAGGCACCTTCCATCCCAGGCACCCACAAGACATGCCAAGGAATTGCTGTGCTCACCCCGAAGAGTCGCCTTCTGTGTGGTAAAAACAAATGGACCTTACTGCCTCAAAGAACATGTAAGAACCAGAGAGAGATCCCCACCGTCCACCTCACGAGGAGGCCCTCCAACTGTAGCTTGTGAAGGAAGATTGGGCTTCAATCCATAGTTCCTTACGGCTGCCCTGATAGCTTGGGACAGCGTCCTTGTGGAGCGCGGGGGTGGTTGATGAGTCCACGAAAATCATCATCCTTTACTACACGGGTGCATCCGACAATCCTGTCCTAGCCCACACAGCGCTCCTCAGATGTCTTTCGGTGGCCAAGGACTCGATGCTTCGGGCTTTTCGGGGGGCGGCACATGGCCACTTTTTAAGATTTGGGCCACTGGATTCGACCTCCTCCTCCCAAAAAAACTGCCCACGAACGGAGCTCGAAAAGACCGAGCTGTGAGCCCAACAAAGGCAGCCAACAAAGCGTTGCGGCTGAGGGCTTCGGCTCGAAACCCTGAACCCTAAACCTTCGGGTTTGGGGTTTTGGGTTTTGGGACTCCGGCATCACCACCGCCCTAAACCCTAAACCCTAAACCTAAACCCTGAACCCTGAACCCTAAACCCCCGCCCCCGCGCTTTTCACGTCACGCGGACGCTCTGCAGCCCGCCGTAGTCGTCGAAGGCCTCACCCAGGGGCGCCCAGGCCACCTCCAAGAATTGGGGGTTTAGGGTTTAGGGTTTCGGGTTTAATGCTTAGGGTTTCGGGTTTAGGGTTTAGGGTTTCGGGTTTAGGGCTTTGGGTTTCTCATGTTTCGGGCGGGAAGAGATCAGGAGAAGGTTGAAGGTTTTGGCCGCCACGGCTACACAAGATGCTTACAAGTCGGGCTTAGATTTAAGTCTTTAAGGCCCCCCTTTTAGGGTTTAGGGTTTAGGGTTTAGGGTTTAGGGTTTGGGGTTTGGGGTTGAGGGTTTAGGGTTTAGGGTTTAGGGTTCTAATCCGCAAACTGTCTTCATGCCATGGTTTAGGGTTAAGGGGTGTAGGGTCTACTTGGAGGTTCATGGTACTTATGAACCAAGGAAAATGAATCAAGACCGCACTCAACCCTACCTTTTTGTCAGGGCTTGACGCTCAGAATCCTTGAGCCAAATATGTTATTCGGCGTTTTGACTTGAGCTACTTCAAGCAGCTATCTGCACATAACTTCTTCCTATGTTTTCCTACCAGGTCCACTGCGCATGCTGCACTGTACATGTCACGCATGGAGTGTGCCTGTTGAAGTTGAGGGTCACCCCCATCTGCGGGCAGCAAGGCCTCATTCAGCAGATGGAGGTATCTGAACTAGTCTAAGCTAAAGTGCAGATTTGCCCATATACCTTCTTCTCCCCCTTCGCACGACACGCATGCCTAACCCCTAATTAGATTCACCAGTGCTGAGCAGCAGGGCTTCTGGACTGGTGGAGGTGTTTGTACCTCAGGCATATGGCAGGTTCATGTGCGTTCAGCTCTCCATTCGGAGGAGCTTCAAAGCTGCAGGGAACTTGGCAGGAGGAAGTGCTTTGGTGAAAACGTCCGCCTCTTGAAGTTCAGTGTTGATGCACTGAAGCCGGATTAACGGATCTGACTCAAAGACTTCGTAGAGCGAAGACAAGTTCACTCTATGAGTCTTGCTGACGTGTCGCAACTTGGGCGAGTACCCGGCATGGACGATTTGGATGACAGCACTATTGTCTTGATGGCATACCAGCTTAGCTTCCTTCCCAGTGAGAGTTTCCAGGAACTCTTGAGCTGGCAAGGCTTCGCCAAATACCAGAACTTAGCGAGATGATTTCTGCCTCTGTGGTGCTCCTGGATGTGGCTGTTTGCTTTTTGCTGCTCCAAGCCAAAGGCCAGTAGGTGTTTTCTCCCTCTAGGCATAAGATCATGCCGCTGGTGGATTGAGCGTGGTCAACGTCGCCTGAGTGATCTGCATCGGTGTAAAGACTCAAGCGCAAATCTTCAAAGGCGTCTCCCATTTTGTGAACAACCGACAGGTTTGGGGTACCTTTCAGGTATGACATCAGCCTGTGCAACTTTTTATCGTCCGCGACGGACCATCGCGTTATGCGGCGCGTCAAGTCAGATATCCCTTTCATTAAGTCAGGACGCGATAGTCTTGCTAACCAAAGTGTTTTCATTAACACTCTGGACGCTTCTGAGGCCAAAGCTCCTTTGCTTTCCCAATCTGACGCGAGGATAGAGCCATCTGGAACAAAAGGTGTGCTGGCAGGTTTGAGAGGACGCTTTGACAAATCTTCGTACAGTCTGCATGCGTTGGCACAGTAGTCAGACATGTCATAGCGCATCGTTGTACCTAACTGGTTTCTCTCAATCAGGTGCTTTCTGCCTAACACTCTGTCCACAGGAGACGGCGGTTCTATCTCAAGGTGGGATTGGACTTCAGCCCAGAATGCATCACGCGCACATGCGGGACCGCTTAGCACAATATCATCTACGTACAAGGTGAGTAAGAGGCCGGTTTTCTTGAAGAAGTAAGAGGACTGAAAGAGCGAGGAGTGCTCTCCTCCAAGCGCTTCTACCACCTGTTTAAACCTCTTGTCCCAATGAAAGCCGGACTCTGGGTGGCCATACAACGATTTCCACAACCTAACGCAGGGCCTTTGCAGATGACGATACTCTGGCGGGGTTAATTCCCAAGGTAGCTCCACCCAAGTCGGGACTCTGGTATTAAGGTCTGATTGGGTGTAAGCCTTGACAACATCCGACTGAGTCGTTTTGTGCCCTTTTGCCGCCCCGTACGCCAAGTTGAAGTTGATTCCAGTTATGCTTGTTGGGTTAACCTTGAGTTCCTGGAGGATAGCAAGGTTATTGGCTTCATCCCTTATGTCGTCTCCTCTAAAGACTATTCTGGTTTTGAGGTTTCTGAGCTCTGGGATTTCGTAATGCTTGATGCTCAGGATTGTCATTAAACGGCCCACATTAATGGGTTCTTTTCTTGCCATGAGGTCCTTTCTTGAAACCATTTCAGCGTAATTCCAAGTGCCATTTGCAATTAACCCTCGAGCTTCGCCGTCTATGCACTCCTGAGCTCCTGCATGCTTGTGCCAATCCTTGCCATCAATCAGGCGGTGAATCCCGGCAAAGATGGAATCAGACTGAACACGCGGTGAGTGAGGTTCAGGAACGAAAGGCCTGACAGGCATCGCTGCAATCTCTGCTGCAACCTTGGAATACAAGCTGCTGATCATTGGCTTTGGATAGAAGGCTGTGCTGCTGGTTTTTCCACCTTCTACCCTACTATGTTGGAAGCCTGATGCATGCTGGCACCTTTTTGCATCCAGATTTTGAGCTAGTTCCCAACACGACGGAATGATGCGCCAGGGTTTAAGGTGGGGAATGCCATTCTTGTCGCACAAGCCATGCGCGCAGCCATCGGTTCTTGCTTCATACAAGTTGTGTCGCTTGATGAAAGCGATCAACTCTGGCAACGCCCAACCAGCTGCATTCTTTGGCCATTCGAAGGCAACATGGCCCCCTTGACTCAACACTACCTCAGCGACAGCTATAAAGTTCCTAAGTATCCTTCTGGAACGGGCCCTTTGCCTTTTCAGTTTGGCCTTGAACCTTTCTCCCAACTTGTGCTTGTTCATTGTTTGCCAGTTGCTCCAAGGGCTGCATGGGATTGAGCCCCACAAGTCACATCCAGGAAACAGCTGAACAAGCTTTTTCAATGATCTTCAACGTTTGAGTTCTTTTCAGTGAGACGAAAGTGGTTGATTCCGAATTCTTCGTTGACTTGGCCCAAAGTAGAATTCTCATCGCAGCAGAATTCGAACATTGTTTCGCTACCAACTTGCCGGAGGAGATGGTTGCGATACGGCAATCCCTGCGGCACTTGCTTGGCAGCCTCACTGGCTTCTGCAATCATGGCCTTGCAAGTTGGATGCATTGTCTCGATGTCTTGAAGGATTGACGCCACTGCTGCAGCCCCAGGTGATCTTCTCAACTGCTCCGAAGCGTTTGCTTTCATGGTGTCTAACTCTGCCTGGGCAATGTCAACCTTACTTTTAGGGAAAAACCAAGTGGCGCCGACCCAACTTTTCGAAGAGATTCTTCTATTTGGGCTTTTGTCATGCCAACCGTCTTTGAATGTTGACGCGCGGCCTCTGCATTTCCACACGGTTTCCCTCGCTGAAGAAACGATGTCGGACGGGAATGGACAGGATCGTCCCACAGGGGTGTACAAACGCTTGCGCGGTTTGACGCGCACACGTTTCCAAGCTATCTTATCCTTATCAAACTCCCAGTATGCTGGGAAGTGGTTCCTGGGCAGCTAAAGGCCTCTATGGAAACTCTTCCGGCTGCACCTGGCACTGGCGGATCTGGAACGTCTGGCGGGACTGATGGTGGAGGCTCAAAAGACGGAGCTGACGGGTCAGAAGGTTTTGCCCTCTCTTTGTCCCTAGCTGCTTTTGCTAAAGCCTCGTCCTCAAGTAACTTTCGGAAACGTTCGTGGCACGCATCTGAATGTTTTACCCCTTCGGCTATTCTGTCACAACCCTTGCACCCGACAGTTGTCCCAAACTTAAGTGCTCTGTCCAAGGTAACATACGTACGCCTAACTCGAGGCTTTGCCTCAGGGGCACCCTTTTCGAAAGGCAAAGCTTCCCTAGATTCAATCGCTTTCAAATCTGCGGTTGGCAAAGGAAAGATGAAAGTCTCAGGGGCCACCATTTCTGTTGCATGAACCTGAATTGGCCTACCGCAACCTTTCGCATCTGTCCTCAACGCTTCATAATCCAACACCAAGTGCACTCCTCTGAACTTGAATCCTGAATCCATGCGCCAACCACAAAATATGCCTGGAAGCGCTCTCGACTGAAACGCAGGAAGCTCTTTGTGGTGAGGTGGCTTGTAGTACACCAACGCGCCTAGAGGACTTCTGTGTCCATCGAAGGCATTCCCTCCATTAGCGGCTTCGTAGCATGTCTTGCCCTCTTTAAAGGCACGGTTTCAGGAGTATCGTTAGCGTGCACAGGTACGGGATTTGTGAAGGACCTGGCGACACAGAAGTATTCTATCGCACGAGGCCACAGGGCATGAGGAAACCCTGCTGCTACCTGCGCTGCTCTAGTTCCTTCCTTAATGCTTCTAATCAACCTTTCTAGTTGAGCATTATGGAATGGGTCATTGGGGATACCTGGTTCTGGTAGCCACCCTAGGAACTTCACAGCTTCAGTGAGCTCGTGAGCGCAATCGGATTTCACTGCACATAATGCTCTGCCATGCGCTCTTGTACCTCCAAACTTCTGCAACGCTGCGATGTTGTTGTCGGTAGTCCTCGATGTTTGTGAGAATGCTGACACACATCCGCTGTATTCATCATACGCAATGAGGCAAGCCTGTTCACCTTCCGACCCTTTGGTCAAATCTTGCCCTAGGACGATACGATCAACCCTCAGCCTATGCCCGAAATGCAACGGTGGAGTTTCTTCGGGGTCTTCTTCAATCTTAGCCCTATGGACTCTGCCAGCCATTTTGGCACGTCTACAGATGCTGCAGTACCTGTTTTTTGGGAAAATGCGTCATCTGATGGCTTAGGGTTTTTGACTCTGCGATTAGCCTTTCGCGAAGACTTGGTGTCCACTCCTCACTGTCATCGCTGTCTATTGGGGCATCTGCAGTGGCTACTGGGGCATCACACATGGACAGTTCATCATCTGTCCCAAAGTTGGGCAACGACCGGTCCGGTTTTAGCCGTAGACCTTCTGGACGTAGGGCTGCTGGGCCTCTTGGGTCCTTTGGGTCTTCCGGTCTGGCTGCTTCCTTTGTGATGTGACGTCGTCGGATGTGCTTCGGATCCGAGGAAGAAGATGAAGGTTCAGGAGGCTTTGGAGGAACTTCATCTATCACAAGGCTTCTCAGCGGATCATGCTCTGCAGGCGCTGTGCCTTTAGAGGAGCTTCCTGGCGATGGGGCAGCTGGGAAGCCTCCGCACGTAACTCTTTCCCGGATGATTGGAACATTCTCTACAACTCTGTCTACCGGTATCTTTGCTGAGGCTGGGCAATACAAAGTCATATCCCCAATCCTATCCGGCTTGACAAAGTAAGGCAGCTCGTCTGGCATCCAAACAAACGGTTTACGATGTTGGTTGACTTGGATACCTAATGACACTGCCGGCGGGCATTGGTTCAGCGAGTAGAAGTAGTTCTCTCCTAGGAAATTGCCTTTCATGCGAACGGCCTTTGTACCTGAGCGCGGGCCACCACCTGTGGAAAACCTAAGCTTCTCCGGAGCATCGGCGAAATGCGAATGCACTTCCTCAGGCAAATCCCTTTTTGCAATTAGGTTTCTACCTGCGCCACTATCGACAAGGAACTCCATGTCAAAAGTCGTTCCATCACTGCCCACAACGGGACTGGATAACGCATTGTTTGAAGAACACGGGTCCAACATAGCCATGGCCGTCATCACTGTTGTGAAAACCTTTTGCAAGGGACTACCTTTGAAAACGGTATTCCTTCTGAGGTTGCGGCTTGCTCGGTCCAACTCCTTTCGGATCAAAGTCTTCAGTCGTGGCTGGGCTCTTGGCAAATCATCTTTCACCTTCCCATCCTGCGCTGGGCTACATTTCCCATCTTGGGCAGCGTGGCCTCCTTCTGGGATGGATGCCTCTGAGGTTGGGATGGCAGACGCAAAAGCCGCCCCTGCTAGAACTGACGCAGCGCCGGCTGCCGAACTTTTAAGCTTTCTTGGCTTTGGACCTTTGTACATGTTTTTAGCGTGGATCAGTTTGGCCCAGAGTTCCCATGATATGCACGACTTCGCAAATTCTGGGAATTTCCCGCTGCTCGACCGTATCCTAGGCCATAGACTTCTTGAACTCTGCAAGGGTACCCGCTTTAGTCTGGATTTTCAAGCGCTACAGGAAGGCGCCCAGAAGATCGGCAAGCAACCCAAGGGTAGATTGCTGTTGTGGCACGTGTTCCCAAGGTTCAAGATGGATAAGGATAAGGATACCGCGCTAACGCAACATCATCTCCTCTCTCTAGTCCTTCATGGCAATGATGTCAAAGCACTTGAGGAGTTTCGCCAGCGGTTCAACTATATATGGGAAGCCTTAGAGATCTCTGAAAGGCCCACTGAGGCAAGCATAAGGTCTCTACTCTTTGAACAGCTCAAAGCGCACCCAAAAATGCAGCTCCACATCGATCGCTTCCGCAATGCGTCCACGCATTCCAATAGAAGAACTTGGAGGTGGTTATATGCTAAGATGTGCGATGTGATCGAGATAAGCCAGCTTGAAGACAACGCTGACGCCATCGACAAGGCATTGCGACCA